GAAGCGAAGGGGAGAGATCAAAACAAAACAACGGTCACTAATTAGAAGTACAGAACGAGGATTTGTAAAGAAGAATGTCAGAGAATCTCGATATAAGCCAAGAGGAGACTGGTTTTCCTTTGCTAAAGTAAGGCAACTTTGCAGCCTTTCCTCCTGTAAACAAACATTAGTTTTCACGAGACTCACGGGCGCATGTGCAGCGCTGACCTCATACGTCATCAGCCCGGAGCTGCATCCATGTACAACTGTTGGCGCAAGCTAGATTAAAGTGATTATTACGTTTTGAATATGGATATTTTTCTTACAAAAACGCATCGATTCGTTACAGGAGCCCTTTGTTCACCCCCCGGAGCCATGTGAGACCCTTTTTTTATGGATGGGCGCTTTTTATTTCACTTTTTTTGGACTGAAGCACTGCAACACCCGCTGACTGCAATGATAGAGCTTGGAATAGCCAGGATAATTTTTTATATAACTCCGACTGGATTCGTCTGAAAGAAGAAAGTCCTATACACCTAGGATGTCCTATTCGCAGGTGCATTTATTACCCATGAATAATTTATTCTGCAACAGAACACATCCAATAATAAGGAGTTACCCAGCATTCATCAACATGATGGGAAACCACCCATATGTGGAATAAAACAGCATTGCTGGGACTCAGATATAATTAGGTTCTTAGTCTCATATCAGTGATCATTACACACTCACTGAAGTAATCCTTTTAGCCTGTAGATGGATTAATTGTTAAAAAAAGACAATAATCGTTCAAATTTGTTTGCAAAATAATGTGTTTTGATTAAAAAAACAACAACACCAATGGCATGTAAAGTGAACAGTCATGTAGAGTTTAAGGGTCAAAGGTAAGCCCATGTAACTTAAAACCCTGAATGGTTAAAAATGGCTTTTACAAAGCCGTTTGCACCGCGCTCTTTTGTCACTTAATATTATATTTTGGTGCTTTAATCTATTGAATTACTTAGTTTATAAAACCATGATCCGCACTCAACAAAAATAGTGCGGATCATGGTTTTATATAAAAATGGCTTTTAAACATCTGTCCACTTTGGTGAATGTCATGTATCAAATGGTTAAACAAACTTGTCAAAAGTACTACTCACTTCTTTAGATGAAAAAAAGATTTGGAAATTGGAAGTGGGAAAAAAATTTACACAACACACCTTCATAACACTTATACAAACTTTAGGAAAAAAAATGTACAATTGAACATGATCACACATGTACCAGCAGCAACCTCCAGCTAAAAAAAGAGAGAGAAAAGATATACACTGAAAGAATTGAGAGCTTAGAAATTCTCATGATGCCTGGGCGGGTTTCAGACGTGTAAATGCTTTAAATCACACACGCATGTCTTAACACATACACACATGTGCGCATAGTCACACACACTCAATATCCTTGGAGTATTACACAATACTGATTACTTAATTAAATGGTTCCTTATTTGTTAATTATTTAATTCAAGATGACTGTAAATATTTTACACTTATTTTACTTATTTTGTCCTTTTCTTTTGTGTGTTCCTCAGGCTGGCGAAGAGATAGAGATTTCTTTGATGACACAGCGAGCGTTCGCAGCGAGGGCAGCAATGTCCGTGGAGGCCTCAGGGGCAGGGGAAAAGGTCGCGGCCGAGGCAGAGGTCGTGGACGAGGTAACCAATAAACATCCCTAAACAACCTAAACATTCATTCTCACAGTCAGACTATGTTTACAATGACTATGACAATGACAATGAATTAAAGAAGATTTTTATAATTGAAGTGTGTGTGTTTGTGTCTTTATGGCATTCTAGTAAATAAAATTCACTCAATTTCCTTTCCTTGAAGAACTTTCAATTTTTAAAATTTTTTTTTTTTATGTGTTAAGGCAACATAAAGGTTACCCAGGGCTTGATATTAAGCTTATCCAGGTAAAAACTATGGATGCTCCGATCCGCCTTTTTCACCTCCGATAACGATTCTGATACCTAGGGTTCGGTATTGACCGATACCGATCCGATACCAGTGAAGTTTTTTTCCCTCATTTAAATAAATGTAGAATTTATATATCTCTGTGTGTGGAACTGATAATAATGGGAACACAGAATGATCTTGGGAGAGAGCTTTACCGAACTGACTGCTGTAACCGAACGCGACCAGGGTTTAGGCTGAACGAATGATTGACAGCCACAGTGGAGAAAAGAGTTTGTGTGAACTTTAATGTAAGGACTTAAATATTCATATGTAGCTCACATTAAGCTATCGTATGGCTTCAGAAGTAACACAGAATAATTTGCACAATCGAAAAAAAAAAAAAATCTCGGATTTGGATCGGCCCTCTCTGACCGATACCCGATCCGAGAAAAATGGCATTATCGGAGCCAATACCCGATATGAATATCGGATCGGCGCATCCCTAGTAAAAACAACTAAAAGCGATTAGGATCAGTGTCATTTTAAACTTTAAAATCAGTCTTCAGTGTAAAGCGTTAAAATAGATTTAGTCATACAACTTCGTTTTAGGGTTTAGGTTTCACTTATTCAGTGTCAAGTGTATGTATAGAAATATACATCATGTTTTAACTTATTATATCATCTCTCGTTTATTTCAGGTCGCTATGACTACTCCCACAGTTACCGGGACTCTTACCTGGATGGGTCCACAGTTCCAGCCGAGTTCGGCACTAACATGGTCTATTACTACGACGACGGCAATCGCATGCAGATGTATATGATTGAGGAGCGTTTACTTAAAGAATACATCAAACGTCAAATGTAAGTTTAGTGTCTCTCTTTTCTTTGAATTTATACAAAAACAGCACATGGTTTGCTTTTCCACCTCTCCAGCTTTCAGTTTAGCACATGATTTATTTTTATTGGTCATATCACAACAAATTTAAGACTTAATGAGGATTTGTACTTTCAAGGTGTGTTTGGTTGTATAATATTCTCAGTGTTTCACGCTTTGCCGCCAGCAGGGGGAGCAGCTGCAGCATTGGGCTGCCTGGCACTGCCTGTCTGTGTGTGTCCTTAATTTAGCTCGTCTGCCTTATGGATGATGGGGAAGGGGTCAGATGATCTGGGTCAGAGAGATTAGGACAGAGGACACTGGGTGCGTTGTGTGTGTGGGTGTTTCCTAGTTAGTCAGAAATAATGACTTTTACATTTCATGTGGAAATGTGTATCAGTGTGCATAGTCAAAGTGTGTGTGTTTTACCCAGCATGAGGTTATTGTTTGTGTGGGTGCGTTCTTGCCCATGTAATCTTATTCACGGAGTTCAGCCAAGCTTACTTCACTCAACACTGATGATAACGAGCTGAGGGTCCACTGGCTCCGCTCTCTCTCTCACACACACACACACACACACAGACACACAGGCTGTTTAACACTGATCTGAAACCTGTCTTTCAAAAACAGTTAGGATCGGTGCTTACTGATAAAAAACTGTTCACAGATCAGTTAGAAAGATGCTTCCTACGCAGATTTTGGTGGGGCTGAAAATACCATGGTTTATAACGGGTAGTCTTTAGTTTCATTAATCTATTATTTGTTCCAGAGCAGATAGTTTTGGCTGAGGGCAAAGTCTCATTACGTTATATTTTATATAACTTTAATGCTGTAGATCAGAGTGCTACCTTTGTACTTTTGACTGAATTGCCTAGAAACTTTTATGATGGCTGTTGTTGTTGTTTATTAAATATTATTAATCAATAAACAGTATTTTAAATAAATAATAATAGTATTTAGTATTGGGAAACGGTGTGGGTGTTCGTAATTTTAGTAACATTGTTCCGCCATTAGATGGCGACAAGACTGTTTTTATCAGTGAGTCAGCAGTAAAGACTTTTATACTGAAAGAGACTGAAACAGGGTTGTAAACAAGGAAGTTATTTTTACTTTCAATAACACCTTTTAAGACGCAGCCAACAAATGCAGTGAGCAGCGCTGTTATCTGAAATCACAGATGAACGGATAGAATGACAAAGATATCGCTTTCATCAGCGGACATTCAAACTAATGTTTTATTGTGAATATGAGATTGAGCTGAAGAATGCTGTTTCAGATGCAGGTAATCACTCTTGCTCAGTCCATCTCTCTCATTATACTCTACTCCACATAATACAGTGAGCTTTAAATGCAGCAATGCAATAAGCTTTCAATGAAGCAATTCAATGTTCCTTCGTTACTAGTTCTAAAGTGACGCTTTCGAATTAGTAACGGAGGCTTGAGCTCAGCTGTTAAACTGGCAAACTGAGATTTGAATCTGTGGCGGAAAGAAGTAGTTCTGCACAAAAGAGAGTTTTTAAAGACACTCAATAGGTGTCTCTTTTTTTATATACTTGTGCCATTGAACTTTTGTATAAACACAATATCACACTTGTAGCCACGCAATATGAATGATTCACACACTATTTGGCACAAAGTGTAAATTCATTCATTGATTCATTGATTAATTTATTCATTCACTTTTTACATTTTTTAATGCTATGTAAAAAATGTGCTTTGTTTCCATTCAGCAAGCAAATTCCACAAGTTAGAATATTGCAAAAACATTTTATTATATAAAGCAATATTTCCATCCCAACAACATTGTTGCTTCAGTGGAATATATATCTCTGCACACACTAAACCACAAACAAGTATTTATATTTAATAAAAGAGATGCACTGCTGCAGTCACTTCCCCAGTGACTTCAACTTTCACGTCGTCTTAACTTTAATTTAGTTTATGTTGCTTCATAATAGTCTATATTGCATAAGAATGCAATAATAAATAGGGTCATAGTGCTTATCAACATGTTTTCTGTTAGGAAAGCCTATATATATATAGGCTCAGCGCCATAGGCGGAAATCCCGGGGGGGTCGGGGGGACAGGACCCCCCCTATCTGAGGGTTGTCCCCCGTAAAAATATGATTAAAAACCACGCTGTGTATTGTAAATAACAACAATGTTTTATACTTTAAATAATTGTGTAAGTAGTAAAACAACGCAAACGGGACAAAAATGTGTTTTAAGTTTAGAAACATTTTGAGTCTCGTCAATAGTTGTGGAACTCCAGTTAGTAATATTGGTCGACCGATATGGGTTTTTTGACAGCCGATGCCGATATCTTGTAAAGCAGGGTGGCCGATATAAAGCCGATATAATTTTATTTATTTTAATTAATATTTAAGAAATGTTTTAATCATTTGAAAATGGATTTTAAAAATAAATGTGTAAAATAAACATACTTATACTTTAGACGACAATGTATTTTTCACAAATAAATAAATATTTAATGAAAAGTCAACATTGTAACCAACAGGGCACTAAGTAATGTGGGATGTTTGTGTGCATTGGGAATCATATTTTTTCCAATAAAGCCATGGCAACAGTCATTTTACATACAGCACATAGTGAAAATGACATGAATATGACAGTTGGCAAATGTATAAAAATCCGTGTATCATTCGTCCACTCGTTTTTTGATTTAATATTGAAAGTAGAAAAATTAGAAAATGGCTCCTTTTTTTTTCTTCTTTTTTTCTCTCCAAAAAACGAAAAACAAGAATTCAACTAATTTTCAGTTTTTCATTCAGGGGTAGAAAAATTAATAAACAGCTTGAATATTCGATTTCTACATGTGGGCAGGAATTAAACGCCCCTTTCTGCTGATTGATCAGCTTAAGACCAAACCTAGAGCCGTAGACAAACAAACTTACTGGGTGACCAGGTACAAGTTGTCGAGCCATTCATTTGTCTGGTTGTTTGATGAGAAAAAGATGAAATGTAGTTGCAATAAACGCATTAAGAATCCGTAGACCTGCAGCAGTGGAGGACTATTATTCTGCCTCGCGGAACTGCGGAAGAACTGATGATGGCACGGTTTGATCTTTAGCTGACCAATCAGCAGAAAGGGGCGTTTAATTCCCACCCACGTGTAGAAATTGAATATTCAAGCTGTTTATTCATTTTTCTACCCCTGAACGAAAAACGGAAAATTAAGCTGAATTCTTGTTTTTCTTTTTTTGGGGAAAAAAAATGAAAAAGGAGCCGTTTTCTCATTTTTCTACTTTCAGTATTAAATCAGAAAATGAGTGAACGAATGATACACGGATTGATAAAGCGCAGCATAATTTGAAATCACGAGTTTAAATTTTGTCGATCGCGCATCTCCTGTGAGGCTGAACTCTCCTCCTGTTTCCGATTCGCACAGACCGACCGTCACGCAGAGCGTACGCAATCATGCAGGATACGAATGCACACTTCACCAGATCTCAACTAGATTCGACTTAAGTTAAAATAAAAGTCCCGCCTCGAATGCATCGGCCAAACAGGAAAAACTTATCGGCCGATGCCGATATTCGAAAAATGCCAAATATCGGCCGATATATCGGCCTTGGCGATATATTGGTCACCCACTAGTAAGTAAGGCTTTCAAGGCTATTTTATTCACTTAAACATCGGATTAAGTGATTATTTTCTCTTTAATACAGATGATGCCAATGTATTTTCCGACGAATCCGCTATGTTAGCAATAATAACGTTACCTGCTTGACATCACAGGGTTGCCAGGTTGCAAACAAAACCCGCCCAATTGCTACTCAAAACTAGCCCAAATTAACTGCGTTTCGAGGGGGTCCCCCTGTAAAAATCGTATTCCAGGGGCTAAATATCTTGTTATTGAGGTCGCTTCGACCCGCGGACATGAAAAACAACCTGCGGCAACAGTGGTAAAGTAGCCCAGTTCCACGGGAAAACCGCGGACTTGGCAACACTGTGATGGATAGTAATGTCTACAATGGTCACGAGCGCTGTCACGGCGCGACCACAAC